TGCTCGCGGGAGGAGTGAAGATAGCCTGCAGCAAGAGTTGCTGCAGGCTGTAGATCATTACTTACCACTGGACCACCAGAGTTGGCAGTGTCCCCCCCTCACCAAAGGTAAGAAGAAGGATGGGGGCACTGAAGGGGGACATGAAGCTTTTTTAAAAATAAAAATAACAAACAAAAAATACCTTTTTCCTATGCAATCACAAACACAAAGCACCCCTCTCACACACACACAGCACATTTCACACACACAGCCCCGCCTCTCTCACACACACCACCCCTCTCACATACACAGCACCTTTCTCACACACACATAGCACCCCTCTCACACACACACAGCACCCCTCTCTCACACACAGCACCCCTCTCACACACAGCACCCCTCTCACACACAGCACCCCTCTCACACACAGCACCCCTCTCACACTGCACTCCTCACACACACTGCATCCTCCACACACAGCACCTCTCTCACACACACACAACACCCCACACACACTGCACTCCTCACACACTGCACCCCTCCCACACAAAGCACCCCTCACACACAAAGCACCCCTCACACACACACAGCACCCTTCACACACACACTGCACCCCTCACTGCAGCCTGTGTGTGTGTTCAGCAGTCTGTGTGTGTGTTTTCAGCAGTCTGTGTGTGTATGTTCAGCAGTATGTGTATGTATTGAGCTCTCTGTGTGTATGTATTCAGCAGTCTGCATGTAGTCAGCAGTCTGTGTGTGTGTATTATGCAGTCTGTGTATGTATATAGCAGCCTGTGTGTGTATACAGCAGCCTGTGTGTGTATACAGCAGCCTGTGTGTGTATACAGCAGCCTGTGTGTATTCTGCAATCTGTGTGTGTGTATTCAGCAATTCGTGTGTGAGTGTTGCTGTGTGTTACCATGGCAATGCTCCAACAAAGCATTCTGTTCATGGGAGGAGTGAAGATAGCCTGCAGCAAGAGGCTTACTGCAGGCTGTAGATCATTACTCACCACTGGACCACCAGGGTTGGCAGTGTCCCTCCTCCCTCCCCCCCACCAAAGGTAAGAAGAAGGGTGGGGGCACTGAGGGAGGACAAACATGCAACTGTAACCCCAATTCTGAAAATGCCCAGCCTTGACCCCAACTCCCCATCCAACTACCGCCCTCTCGCTACTGCCATTTGCCTCCAAGAACCTCAAGAGAGCTGTGTACACCAGACTGGCTGACTTTCAAGAAACCAACTCTCTGCTTGACCCCCTTCAGTCTAGATTCCGCGCTGTTCATTCTGTTGAAACGGCTGTGACCAAATTATCCAACGATTTAATTGCTGCTGAATCTCGCGGCCATTACTCTATCCTAATTCTCCCTGATCTCTCTGCTGCCTTTAACACTGTTGATCATCAACATCTCCGTAATTTTGGTCTACGGGATACTGCTCTCTCCTGGTGCTCCTCCTACCTCTCCCAGCACTCCTTCAGTATTTCTTTCTCTGACTCTGCCTCTTGCCCCCAACCACTCTCTGTTGGCGTCCCTCAATGTTCTGTCCTTGGTCCCCTACCGTTCTCTATTTACACTGCCTCCCTTGGTAAACTTATCAGCTCCTTTTGCTTCCGTTATCATTTCTATGTGGATGACACGCAAATCTACCTGTCCTCTCCTGATCTCTCTCTCCGCCCATATTGACTTGTGTCTCTGACTGCCTCTCTTCGATTTCTGAATGGATGGCTGCTCACTTCCTTAAACTCAACCTTTCCAAAACAGAACTTCTGGTCTTTCCTCCCTCAAGTGTTACTACTCCCGTGTCTGTCTCCCTCCAAGTCAACGGCACTACAATCACCTCTACCTCGCAGGCTCGCTGCCTGGTTGTTCTTTTTGACTCCAACCTCTCCTTCACCCCTCATGTCCAATCAATCATCAAATCCTGTCGCTTCCATCTCAAAAACATAGCGCGCTTTAACCCTGGATACGGCTAAGGTGCTGGTCCATGCTCTTGTTCTCTCTCGTCTGGACTACTGCAATACTCTTCTCAGTGGTCTTACGTGTTCTCAGACTGCACCCCTGCAATCTATAATGAATGCGGCGGCGAGGCTCATTTTCATGCACCTCTCACGCCTCCCCGCTCTGTCAGTCCCTGCATTGACTTCCAGTTAGATATAGGGCTCAATTTAAAATTCGGGTGCTTACTTACAAGTCCCTACATAATGTTGCTCCAACTTACCTATCCTCCCTAATACACAAGTATGTCCCGTCGAGGCCCCTACGCTCTGCCAAAGACCTACGTGTATCCTCTGTCCGTACTCCCACCTCTAATGCTCGCCTCCAAGACTTTTCCAGGGCTGCACCTCTTCTGTGGACCTCTTCCCTTCTCTGTAAGAATTTCACCCAGTCTCCACTCATTCAAAAAACCCTTGAAAACTCACTTCTTCAAGAAAGCATATCAATTAAACTGTAAGCAGGTTTTCATCCCCCACCCTCCATGACTCCTCTCCTGCAACTGTCAAAAATTACCTACTAAGCCCTCAATTAATACTTTTCTATCAACCTACTTCATACCCCTACTTTTACCCTCTGTGTCATTATACCCCACTCCTTCTAGAATGTAAGCTCATGGAGCAGGGCCCTCAACCCGTCTGTTCCTGTACGTCCAGTTGTCTGGTTACAATTACATGTATGTTAGTCCACCCATTGTACAGCGCTACGGAATTTGATCCCTTTTCCCTATGCATTCCCCCCCCACACAGCAATCCTCTCACACACACAGCACCTTTCACACACACACACACACACACACACACACACACAGAACCCCCCGACACACACACAGCACCTTACACACACCACCTCTCTCACACACAGCACCCTTCACACACACACACAGCACCCCTCACACACACAGCACCCCTCACACACACAGCACCCTACACACACATAGCACCCTACACACACTGCACTCCTCACACACACAGACACAAACACACTGTATTTATGTATGTATAGAGCAGCCTGTGTGTGTATACAGCAGCCTGTGTGTATTCTGCAGTCCATGTGTGTGTATTGTGCAGTCCGTGTGTGTGTATTCAGAAGTCCGTGTGTGTATTTAGTAGTTTGTGTGTATGTATTCAGCAGCCTGTGTGTGTATACAGCAGCCTGTGTGTACTCTGCATTATGTGTGTGTGTCTTCAGCAGTCTGTGTGTTCGTCTTCAGCAGTCTGTGTGTTCGTCTTCAGGAGTCTGTGTGTTCGTCTTCAGGAGTCTGTGTGTTCGTCTTCAGGAGTTTGTGTGTTCATCTTCAGGAGTCTGTGTGTTCGTCTTCAGGAGTCTGTGTGTTCGTCTTCACGAGTCTGTGTGTTCGTCTTCACGAGTCTGTGTGTTCGTCTTCACGAGTCCGTGTGTGTGTCTTCAGCCATCTGTGTGTATGTATTCAGCAGCCTGTGTGTATTCTGCATTCTGTGTGTGTGTATTCAGATGTCCGTGTGTGTATTCAGCCATCCGTGTATGTGTATTCAGCAGCTGTGTGTGTATACAGCAGCCTGTGTGTATTCTGCATTCTGTTTGTGTGTATTCAGCAGTCCTTGTTTGTGTATTCAGCAGGTCTGTGTGTTTGTAATGTATGACTGTATTGCATTTGTTGGAAGTACCAATAAATATAACTGGAATTTTATCGATAATTTACAATTTTTATTCCTGTGACTGGTTGTGTAGGCAGGGCCCCAGGGCACTACTTTGCCCCAGGGCCCAAAATGTTGTTAAGATGGCACTGGGTGGAGCTTTGTGTTTTGTTACAGTACCAAATTGGTTATCTATACTTTGCTAGAGAGAGAGGGTCTGAGATTGCATATTTGTCTTGTCTGGGCACTAGAACTAGCCTAGATATTGAACTAGATATTTACCAGTAACCTATTGGTATTTTGGTAATTTTAACTGGTAACTGGTAGGATAGAATAGGAATAGGCCAAACGGTCTTAAGTGGGTGTTTTTTTCATTATTCACTCCCCGACATATGGTTTACCTATTACATCAGATATATATTGAACTATTTACAGGATGTAGCATATCACAAATAATCGTCAGTGAGTGTCAATTTCCCTCTTTTCCCTTCCCTTTAATTTATTGGAAAAATGTACAGTTGGTAATTTTTTAAATATGTTTTAGGCTTGTAAAATATGATTTTATGCGACTATAACTCAAGTACTAATATAGTATTGAGACAAGGTCTTTTTAAACCTGCTGCTATACCTCCAGACAATGTAAACTTTCTATGCACTAGTTTCATATGACAAGTAGAACAATGAAACATATCATTTACATTGCATTATATATGGGCATTTATTTATTATTATTATTATCCTCTTAGTCAACATGGAGCACATTACACCTGTGTTTGCAGAACATTCCAAGTATTCATTAAGTTGGTGAAGTAATGTAAGGAACACACTGAACGATTAATCATCAGAGCGCATTTTGCAATGACAGTTGTACTTTACAATAAAACTAGAATTTACCAAGCTATTTTAAGTTGTCCTTATTACAGTGTCGGTATCACAGGAGCTTTTACAGTGCAGTAAAGAGAATGCCACACAATGGTGCTGAATGCTACTTATGTGCAACTTGATCACGCTAGGGAAGGTGTATAAAAGTAAACACACCTCATCTAGCTGTATAAAAGGGACACTGAGCATCATATCGATTACAGTCTGATGTAGTGGTTATCAGGGCCGGCCTTAGGCCTTTAGGCGCCCTGTGCGAAAAATCTTCACAGCGCCCCCCCGTCATCCATATATGATGTAATGTTTGTGTTGTCTGTGTGTGTGATAGATGTGATGACTGTGATATGTGATATGACTGTGATATGTATGCTATGTGTTGGCTGTGATATTTGTAATGGGTGTATTAACAGTGTGTGATATTCATGTATTGGTTGTATGTGATATTTTTTTTTTTTAAATTCTTTATTTTTCTTTGTGCATGGAGTAACAAATCATTTGTAAATGCCACAGCAGCATATTTAAAAAATGTGAACACAGTAGCTGTACATTTATGGCATAAGATTATCAGCACAATTTTTAATTGTTAAGTTATGAACAAGCTAAACGTAATGCAAGATTAACCCGCGTTTGTTAGTAGCAGTAGTATTTGCATATTCGTAGAGTATTAACCAGCTTAGTTAAATGATTATACTGTCAGAATAGATATATGTAAGACAGTTGAGAATAAGTAATGCTTGACAGTTATAGGTTAACTACGTTAGTACCAGTGGGATGTGGTAACATGCTTTCATGTTTCAGGGTTAGAATACGTTGAGGCTCTGACACATAAAGATTTATAACGCATGAGAACATTTATGTTAAAGTAGACCGCTGATCACTAGCTATGCATATTGGGTAAATCTGTAAACAGGTAGATCTAAGCTAATGAATATCATGAGTTATAGTTACAAATAACACCAAGATAGTCATGTTTATATATCGTATGGTCCTGTTAGGGAGTAGTGTTCAGAGTAGTGAGAGAGATGGGAAAACATGACTGGTATAATGTTTGCTTTAGCACGACTGTATGATAGGTACATGTTAAGTAAGTCAGTGCCCTCGTTGGTGTTGTTTAAAGATCCCCTGTTACCCGGGGGAGGGGGGGAAGATTTTGAGTGGCTTTACCTAAGTGGCTATTACGTGCCCTTGGTTGCCAGCACTAGTGTGAATTCTGCCATAAAATGTCGGCATTAAAATTTTAAACTTTTAAACATATATACATCATAACTGGTTCGTGAGTCCAGGGGGTGCAGCGGGTGATGCTGTTTAAAGTACACTGGTCTGGATACTAGGTAGCTTCAAGACTGCGTCAGGCGTTGGTTACCGCGGTGATCGCTGTTTCGGCTCTTCTAGGGACGAATGGGGTCGCTGTTGCGGGATTCCAAGCGGTGCTGTGTGCCAGCGTGGTTCTGTTCTCCGGTGGAGGATGAGCGAGCGGGGGAAGTCCCAGGGTCGGTAGCAGTTCATTTGCCTCCTGTAAGTCCTGGATGGTAGAGGTCGCATTCCCGTGGTGGATTAACAGTGTGCGCGAACCTCTCCAGTGGTAGGTAATTTTATGTTGGCGTAGGAGGGCTGTAAAGGGTTGAAGTGTGCGTCTCCACGCCAGGGTGGGCCCCGATAAGTCCGCGTAAAAAGATAGCTGCATATTTTCAAACGGGTACGGTGATTGGTTCCGCGTAGCCTGCATTACCGCCACCTTGTCTCCGTGATTTTGGAAGCAAGCCAGGAGGTCTCGTGGGGCCTTTGGTGGGGCCTTGGCTGCTCGTGGTAGGCGAAATACATTTTCGATGGGTACCTGTCTGGCTTGCTTGTGAGGTAGAAGTGACTGCATTAGTCTCCGCAATGTATGTGGGAGTTCAGACTCCGGTATCTCCTCTCCTATGCCTCGGATTTTTATGTTCCGGCAGCGACTCCGATCCTCTAAGGCTGCTATACGCTGCTCGTATGTGGATTGCTGTATTTTGATCTCCTGGACCGTTTGTTGTAGGGCTTGAGTGTGTTGTTTGGTGCACTGGGAGTCTGCCTCCAGTGTGCCCAGCCGGCCCGTTAGGCCTTGTAGGTCCTTGCGTAGTTGGGCCATGTCGGCCTGTATGGTTAGTCGGAGATCTGCTAGGAGGTCTTTCATGACAGCAACGGTCACTGGTGAGGAGTCTGCTTGCGGTAGTGACTTGCAAGGTGGTATTTCCTCATGCGGGTGTTCCATCTCAGTCTCTGTGGTGAAATCATCAGAGATATCCGAGCCGTAGTCGTTGTAAGCGGCCATGTTGGGGCCTTGGGCGCTAAGCGCCTGCTTCCACATGTCGCCAATGCTGTGGTGCTGCCGCGGGTTGTCGGGCTTAGATTTTTTAGTTTTGCGGCCCATATCGTTGGTAGATGCCTGCAGGTCGTTTTGGTACCAGTTTCGTTGGGCTGGGTTCGTGTTAGATGGTCCAAACTACTTTTTTGCAGCGGAGCTCGCTAGGCATGCAGCCATTCAGGTCAGTTGCTTGGCTCCGCCCCCGGAATACCGGTTGTATGTGATATTTGTGCTGGGTTTATTGGCTGTGTGTGATGGTTATTTAATTCAGATAAAAAACATGCATTTAGTGTGAATGTAGGTGTATATTTTTGCAGAGTTATGTGCACACATTCCCACAGTCAGATGCACACAGTTATACATATACACTGTCAAATCCACCACATGCACATAGTCGCAGGCAGATAGTCACATACACAGGATCAGGCAGAAACACACAGGTACAGGCAGTAACACACATACACAGTTACAGGTAGATACACACTCACACACAATTACAGGCAGACAGCCACACACACACACACACACACACAGCCACACATACAGTCTTACAAACACACACTTACATACAGACAGTCACAAACACACAGACAGCCACACACACACACACACACAGGCATACAGCCACACACACAGGAAGCCACACACATACACACACAGGCAGACAGCCACACACAGGGAGAAAGCCACACACACACACACACAGACATACACGCAGGCAGACAGACACACACACACACAGAGGCAGGCGGCCATCCACACACACAGGAAGACATCCACACACACACAAAGGCAGGCAGTCACACACACAGGCAGACAGCCACACAAACACACACAGACAGTCACGCACGCACACACACACGCAGACAGTCACACACAAATACAGGCAGTCATACACACAAACACACACACAGTCACACACACAGGCAGACAGTCATACACGCACAGGCAGTCATACACACACACACACAGGCAGGCAGACAGTCACAGACACACACACACAGGCAGACAGTCACACACACACACAGACAGACAGTAACAGACACAAACAGGCAGGCAGGCAGTCACAGACACACACACACAGGCAGACAGTCACAGACACACACACGCAGACAGTCACAGACCCACACACACAGGCAGACAGTCACAGACACACACACACACAGGCAGACAGTTACAGACACACACAGGCAGGCAGACAGGCATACACACACAGTCACACTCACACTGACAATCACATAGTTACCTCTGTTCATTGTGGAGGCAGACAGGCAGTGCAGCTCCTGGAGACTATTTGTTGGGGGAAGCAGGGACTCCTTCCTGCTTCCCCTGGGGCAGTCATCCGGCACTTTTAGCTCCGCCCCCACTGCACGGGAAGCTCCGCCCCCACTGCAGATTTTTTTTTAAATCCCGGCCGGCTGTGCGGCCGCGCTCCTTGCTTCATGGCGCCCTGTGCGGCCGCACAGCTCGCACACCCCTAAAGCTGGCCCTGGTGGTTATCGTGCCAGTTGTCCCATTGAGCACCTTTTTGCTGTGATCTGTCAAGCCATTTATGTATGGTTTGAGTTATCTAGTTGCAGTAAGAACCCATGGTCCTTCCAGTCACAATTGCCATGATAAAGCATGTTCATAGATGGCATTATGATAGGATCTCACACCACGTTTGGAAAGTATTTATTGGAAGAAAGTGTCAGCTGATGGCTCTCAACCATTGAATAGTGTCCAAACCTGGTACAGCAAGATAACTAGTTTGACTAAGTTAACAGTATACACTGTACACCCAGACCACATCAGCTCATTGAAGTGATCTGGGAGCAGTATCCCAGGTCACTTAACCTTGAGCAGGTAATTATTGCAGTTTTTAAGAAATTGCAATAATTATCTGCTAGTGTTAACTCCACCTCTAGTGACTCGTTGTTAAGCGCTTTTTGGTCGCTATGCATGGTAACGTCCAGCTTCACCCAAATCCTAACACGGGCAGACCCGAGCCAGCTGTAAGGGACATTGGCACTGGACCCAGGTATGTGTTTTATTGTTCTATATTTTATTGAGGCAACATGAGCACAATACAGAAAGAAGAAATTGAGCTATATCAGAAATAACATGTAAGAGATGCAGTGATCTATAACAAAGACATAATCTCCTATGAAAAACTGCCTAATTATTCTGAAAATTAAAACAAGATCATAGTTAAGCTAGGCACAGGGAAATACTTATAATATCACGATGTCTAATGCAACAGGCTAGTGGTAAAAGATGTATATACGTAAGACTAAACATACTGATATGTGCGATATCATAAGGAAATGAACTATGCTTAACATTCTGAATAATGACAAGCTCATACCATATTTATCAAGCAGAACATGCATAAAAGAAAAAAGCAGAAGGAAAATTTAAAATAATAACAATAGATGCTGGTAGAACTAGGGCTCGGCATTTAGTAAATATGTCCACTCGTCAGCATACGTGAGTAGTGTCCCAGTCCGCCTGAATGGGCCATGTATTGAAATCCGGATGAGGCACCCCTCCAGCCCCAGGCCCCTACTAGAGCCGGTACCACTTATCAACGAACTCGTGACTACCTAAGACCTAGTCCTTCCCCGATAAGGTGTTGCGCAGGGCCCTACACTGCTACCTTCACAGTTGCCTAAGACCTAGTCCTTCCCAGATAAGGTGCTGCGCAGGGCCCTACATGGCTACCTTCGCAGGTGCCGAGTGGTCCTCTGCAGACGTTAGAGGCGTATAGGGGTCAAACCCTGAGTGGCTCTCATCCTATGTGGGTAAACAGCAGCAGAAGGGATAGTTTTAGCAGTTGCTCTGCCCAGTCCGGCTGCTCGATGCCATGCCTCCATTCTGTTGCTGTAACTTATCTGCTGAGTGCTGGTGGAGAGTTAGAAAAAATAGCCCACCTACCCCCATCTCACAAAATTATAAAGTATCCCATTCACTAAATGGCCAAAGAAAAATGATGTCCAAATTCCTATTCCTTATGTTACTTTCCCTTGCAAATGATGTGGAGTCTAACCCTGGTACCTCAGCTAATCCTAATCTCCCCACTCAAAAATGCCTCTCTTTTGTGCACGGCAACATCTGTAGCTTACTCCCTAAACTGGATGCACTGCAAGCCTGGTGTTCCCATTACAAACCAAAAATCATTGTGCTTTCAGAATCATGGTTAACAACTAAAATACCAGACTCCTCCATTGCAATACAGGGTTATTCATGTTTTAAAAATGACAGAGCAAAGAGAGGAGGAGGCATTGTTATTTATGTTGACAATTCCATAAAGATTACCCCGTTACAAAACTTTAGCCCTCCTGCCACCTTTGATTTCCTTTCTGGCAAAATTGAGATCCCGTGCAGTAAATCAATCATTGTTGCAGGAATCTACCGCCCACCTAGCTCCCCAGTGCATTCCCTATCTGACATAGCCCATCTCCTTAGTGAAACCATAGCTGTAAACTGTTGGTCTTTGGAGATTTTAATATTGATTGGCTGAATCCTAAAAATAATAGTTCTTGCTCGCTGTTTAAGACTTTGTAGCTAACGCAATTAATCTCCTCCCCAACTCGCATAAACATTAAAAGCCATATCTATACCCAGCTCGATTGGATTCTCTCCACTTAGATAGATAAAATCCAGGAGGCCAGTGTTCTCCCAAACAGTTTAAGTGACCACTGTACTGCATGCGCAAAATAAAGGCTACTAAATCCTCTCTCAAGGTTAAAATCACCAGGTCCTTCAAAAAATTTAATCTTGAATCCTTTCTTAATGACATCAAGAACCTCCCATGGCACAGATTAAACATTATCCCAGATCTAGACTGTGAAGTTGAATTCTTTCAGTCTGAACTCCTACGAGTTTGGAATTTGCATGCCTCGCTGCGTAAGGTGAAAGTAAAAGGGGCACATATGAACTGGATTACAGCTGACCTCATCCAAATGTACCAGTTTCGGGATTCATTGTTGTCAAAGTTCAAGCGTACTGGTTTTATGAACGATCACTGTGCATATAGACAATGGCGAAATATATGCACAAAACAAACAAAATTGACCAAGGCCCAATATTTCTGTGAAAATCTGAACAATAGCCTATCAAACCCTAGAAACTTTTGGAAAGTCATAAATAAATTACAAACTCCCCCAATTTACTCCCAACCGTCCACTGTCAAAGTGGATAACCAAACCCTGCAACTTCCCTCAGATGTAGCAAAAGCCTTTAACAATTATTTTATCGGATGCTCCACTA